CAAAACAAAACAAAACAAAAGTTGTCATAGTAGCAGGACAAAATCCAGCTAGGAAAAATGAAGTGAAGAGAAATACCGTTACTGCAATATAAACCTAAAAATAAAAAGTTTCATGAAGGGCATAAAGTTCATTGGATCAACCTCTTTAGAAAAAAAGACTTGCAAATGTATGTCCAAAACAAGTGTTAAACTACAGTTCTGTAATGTTTAAGTTTAGGAGCTAATGTGACATTTGATTCTTATTTTCCAGGTATTTTTTACTCGCTTCAAAGCAGTGGTTATGAGGCAACAATCTTATATATGTGTATATATTTGTATCTGAACATTGAAGTAGGTCACTGAACTCACACTTAGGGCAACAAAATTACTTCAAGGGCAACTACGGGTTCTCCATGAACTCCTAAAGAATGGGGTTGTCAATTAAACTAAAAAAAATCTTTTATAGAGCGGTTTCATATCTGAAAAGTCATCAAAAATTACAACAAGAATTAATGAAGCTTGAGTCAAATCCAGCCTTTATTCATGTAGGAATAAAATTGTTTATATTCCAATCAATTGACTTGACAAGGAAAACTTATTTGAGAATTTTTTACAGATGAATCAAACTGGCCCAGACACTGTAACAATGAATTAAATATTTTATCTTTAAAAATCCAAATAGAAGCAACAAAATAATTTGGAAGAATGATTAACTGTGTAAGCAAGTAGCAGGACATACATAATGCGATTGAAAAACTAAACAATTTAGTTAAATTTTCAAATGCATTAGAGGCTTATTAACCTGAACTGTCTGAAGAATTTGATGATACATGGATTCACTTGACTGTATTTAACCCTCAAATTTTCATCCAGAAACAGCTACAAATGACAAACAGCAAAATACACAAAGTTCAGAGATTCTCAAGTTTGTAACTGCGCTCTTGGGAACCTGAATGGAGGAAAAAATAGAAAAAGTTTACATTATGGGAGAAAACAAAAGACAACTGAGAACTCTATGGCTAATATGCCGTATTCCTGCATCTGTATTTGCATTCTCTTTACAAAGTTTAGGTTCAGGGCATTCAAATTAAATGTCTGCATTTTTCTACAGAACAAGAAAGAATTCTCTCCATCATTAATATGTGGTATTATGCACAGATTTATCCTCTTAGAGCTGGGCTTTTTAAATTTAAAGCCCACAAAAGTCAGTTGTGGTGTTGGAAGAAGGAACTTCTGTTGCAGGTCTATTCACACCTTCTTAACCTTTGGCTGAGGTCAGGCAGCCAAACCACATTCTTAACTCTATAAGAAAGCAAGAGATGGAATCTTAAGATACCATTCTTTAGCATCTATAAATGGTCAACCATGCAATAAATTAAGTCCTAACCTGAAACTATCCCCCATAGTAATGTAAAATGGATAGGACAATGGAAAAAATATTACAATAGCAACTCTTTTTTGGGGTATGTCTTAATTACTTAGGTACCAACAACCTACTGATGTACACAGTCCAAAGGTTATTTTTGCTACTAGATTTGATTAGCATATTTTCCCCCATCATAAAAGGAATTGCTTTTTCATTGAACGATTGAACATTTTCAGAATCTTTTTTTTTAATGAAATTAAATATTTTCAGTGCATAGCAAAGACATTATTTTAGCCTACTATTTCACATGAAGAAAGCATTTGAAAGACAGCTTTGGTGAAATTTCTGTAAAATAGCCTTCGAACTATAAGATAAATTCATAAATGTCGGCTTGAGGGATTCATCTTTTAAAAGAAACAGACCAATAGATCTCAGTCCAAAACTGCTGAGAATTTTATATATAATTCCAATTGTATGGACCTCCTACCTTACTCTTATATTCACACAATATCCTTACAGTTAATAGCAGCATATATATCATAATAGCAGCAATATCCTTATCCTTAATAGCAGCAAATACTTTCAGGTGAAATCCTGCTATTGTTATTGTCTGTGATGAATTTGTATCTTCTTATTTGCTAAATGAAATTTAGCAACTGAAAGCAAAGGTCAGTATCTCACTACAACACAGGAGCAGAACAACAGGAAGAGTTTTGCAGATCAGTGGAAAAAGCTTGGAAGATTCAGTGCTGCCATTTTTAATATGTCTGTTCTCCCACCAATATTTGCCATGCTGCAAATATTTCTTTTTAACCATCTTTCTATAGTGGTGCATGCTGTCTTTTGGAAGCTCTGCTCTTCTGAATTGTCTTAGAAATAAAATTTCTCTTTCACAGTAGTTTTTGACCTTGAAAATGACAGGGTGACTTCCATTAATAAAGAACTAAGCATGGAGACTCTTAGTATTAGATTCAAATGTTCACTTTCTTAAAATGTTAAATACTTCTCTCACATTGCTTTATTAACACACTCCTACAAAATGAAGAAAATGTTAGGATTATGCTGCGATTTCCTGGACAAGTCAAGAGGCTGTGCAACTTGGCACATAAGTCATAAAAACTAACCTTTTTTGCAAGATAATTGTAAAAAATGTGTTTTGGTTTTTTGGCCATGAATTATAGAACAAAGTCCTTTCTGCTGACTACATCACTGAATTCCAATGTAAGACTTCTCACACATAAATCTTGCTACAGAGTAAATTTGAAAACTCACAAGTAATTCCCAAGAGTTCAAATGAAAACATGCACTCTGAATGCATGTGTAGTAATACATAATGAAGGAATTTAGAGTCCAGCTTTTCAGAATCAAAACTTTAGGCAAGAATCCAACAGCAGAAGTTGTTTTAGCTCCAGTTTTCTTTTTAAATCATCAACATCAATGAAGAACCCTTACCAGTGGGATTTCTGGAAATCATATTTTAAACACTGTATGGAAGACATGGTTTTTCTCTCTGAGGTTTAAGTGTAGTCTACCATGATCAACTTGATGCTGTGGCATTTAACTCATAAATAAGGAAAAAAATCAGAGTAAAAAAAGTAAAGTTCTGTTCATTTGCAAAGACACCACTTCTGCTCATCAGTCCTCAGTGACAGTCACAGACCTTGCACCTGTGGATATCTGTGCTGATCACTAGAACAGATCACCTCTGAAGAAGGACCATGCCTGAACTGCCTGGCTTGAAGCAGGAGAGAAGAAATGCTAAATCCAGGAACAGAGTAAGCTGAATACTATGGTGTGAAGGCCAGAGATGGAAAGCTTCCATCCATACCAGAGACTTTCTTTAGGAAAAGCAAACAATAGATATATTTGTTCACTGAAGGAAACATATCCCAATAAGGAAAGGAAGGACATAAAGTGCATCTCTGAGACAAAATGCCCACACTATATACTAATGCTATATTCTTGATATTCAAAGGAATGTTCAAAGGAAAGGCTTGCTTTATCCTGCAAGACTATTACTGACAACCACCCACAATGTAGGTTGAAATATCTTGTCACAAAACTAAATTTACTCAGCTTTCATGACAGTTTTTCAAGACAATTTTGTCCTGTGATTAGATCTCAACACAAATCTCAAGAGCATTTAGCCACATTCCTTGTGATAATATCAAATAATATACACAGCTCCACTTCAATGGTTTTAGGTTTTAATTTCAGCTCAGATTCAAGTGAAATTTTGAAGCCCAAAAACCAGGCTTATTTTAGTCGGAAAAAAAAGAGACATCAAAGTAAAAATTTATGTTAAACTCTAAGTGCAGTAAGTACAAAATGCCTTTCTTGAAACATTGCTTGTTTCACAAAAAACCACGTTTTATTTGCTAGTGTCCTTTGCATCTGTTACCTCATCAACTTGCTCTAGAAACCATTTCTTTAGTGAAGTGATTCCTTTGTAGACAGCTGATATCATCATGATGATCCAAAAGCATAGGAGCTATTATAGACACGTGATACTATTTTAATAAAAGAAAATATTATAGATTTGTAATAAACATACCCAGAATTTTCTTTCAATACTCCAGAACACATTAAGTAGTTTTACTTCCTTTGGCTCTCTTTAACTTTGAATAGCCTTCTTCTTTCTGTTTACAAAAACAAACAGGAAAGGGCAAAAACCAATAAAGCAAATGAAGCAGCAATACTAAGCTAAAAGTTCAACTAAAAAATTTGTTTCTAAGTTAAATGCTTGGTTGAATAAGAAGTAAGTAATAAAAGTTTGTGTTTTCCAACACAAATAATTTAAAGTATGTTTATAAATAAAACAGTGGCTAAATAATTAGGACTACAGCTACTTTGAAAATACTCTTTATGTGCTGGTAACCATGACGTTCAAAACCAACTATCATTTCTGATGATCAATGACAAAGGTTTACTCTTCAGAGATGTGTTTAGCAGTGTCTCCAGTTAGCACCATTACATTTCAATGTGGGGACAGGAGGAATCAGCCTAATAAGCATCAGAGAGTCCATCCCTACCCCAATTAACAGATAAGTCTCTTTTCTATTCCTGAGACACCAATGAAACTTCCTGAGAGCTATGCATACATTGAGTCCAGCAGTGGCAGCACTGCAGTGGCAGTGAGAACTTGCTGTGCACTGACACTTCCCAAAAGTAGCTTGCAGGGCTCAGGCAGGTACCTGTGCTACTCCCAGCCTGCCTGGAGAGTGAAGAATGCATGGGCCACTTGTGACTCCTGACTAAGACAGGGCAGTGCCCCTTTCCCATTCCAGCAGTGCTGCCAGACCAGCTACAAGCTCTCCATGCTCACAAGCCCTGGTGTGTCTGAGTCATTCCCAGTGGCAGGCAAAGGACTTCATTAATTCGTATTGTGGTAGAAATCTCCCCTCAATACCCAGACCCCTGGGGTTGTTATTCCTATGAACAGCTATTTTTAGTTGCTGGTTTTCTTCTCTTTGAGAGAGTGACTCTACTGCTGCAGTACAGCAGTGCTGGGCCTGTAACCAGTGACTCGGTTGTGGCCCTATGGAAGGGCCTTTTCCAGCTGCAGTTGGATGGAGCCAGCTCAGAGCAGCTGGGCTGGCGCTTCCCACACAAACTCCTCTCCTCCGTGCTGCAGCTCGAGCTCTGGGCTATGTATGAGTGTGTTCCTACAGCAGGCCCCTGGGGTTGCTGCACTGGTCTTTTCTGATCTGCACGGAGTGCACAGACTGTGTTCTTTTAATTACATTTAAAACGTCCAGAATTGTCTTGTATTTGGCCTTAAAAGCATAACAAAACAAAAAGTCAGTTCTAGAGAATGTTGCTAAATTCAAATCCTTGAGATTAAAAACTCAGAGAGCCACTGAGAATTCCCAGAGTTATATTGGGCAGGATAGAACTTTTCTGTAGAATCAGAAAATCTGCTTCAGAAACAGTAACATCATTAAACATTTCAGTAGCATTTTTTGCTGGAGACAAACATTTAAAATGAACTCTTCAAGTGACAGTATAATATCTGATGGTTACTGTTAATTTTATCCTGGTTAAGGTTAATTTTATCCAGTGAGGTCAGTAAGATTTCTTAGCCTGCCCATCTTAATTGCAACATACTAAAAACTTTGAAATATATTTTTTATCTCTTAATTCATGTCCTTCTCGACTGGATTAAGGAGTGTATGTATGTGTGTGTGGGGGGATTTACCTGTCTTTTTCTGCCACAACCTTTCTTTATAGATGCTTCCATGTTGCTCTCCTTGACTGGCAAAGTTGTTTTTGAGGTCAGTGTTTCACATGTCAGATTCTTGTTCCCTGCAGTCGTCTTAAAGTATAGAAGTTCATAACTTCATTAGAAAAACATCCCACAACATTTTGAACAAGATCTCTAACTTTTAAAATTACCTGCTTTTTCAAAAGGTGCCCTCATCATACAAAGCTGAGATAACCCACCAAATTACACTGTATAGATGACAAATGTGATAAGCCCAAGACAGTTCATCATTCACCCAATATATGGAATATCATCCTCATAAAAATTGCACTGAAGTCAGCTCAACTATTTATTTAATTCAAATGCAGGGAGAATTACAGAAAAATTAGGTGGCAAAGTGCTTCTAGCTGTCACATAATCATAACTTTTACTCAGAAAAGAGCTAACTTCAAAGATGGATCACCTTGCTTTGGGACCCATTCAGTCAAGTTCTGAGAATCTGGAAGGCTAACATACCCAAAAACCTCCCTCTGCAACTTGTTCTACTAGCTGACTAGCTGTTCTCACACTGAAGGTTTTTGTCTCACGTTCAGTGGGAATTTTTTTCTGTTGCAACTTGTGCTTTTTGTGAAATTGTAATTAAACTTGTATTTGCAAAACCTCCGTGTTTGTCAAACAGCACAATGCCTTGCACACAACAGCTGTCAGCACTACACAATTGATGAGGTTTGAGATTCCTTCCAGGAGGAAGGAATTATTCCATTAATATGGTATTATATGGACAGAAACTGAACACCAAAAAAATGTTGACATGTTGACCTCACACAGACCTGGATAAACTGTCTAAAACAAAGGAAAAGTAATTACCCCACCATAAAAGTCCCAAATTAAAGAAGTGTTTATTTCACAAGACAGAGTAAATCTTCTTCCCTTTCAGAAAAAAAAGCAGCAGTGGCTGAAAACATTAAGTTATATGGTAGAATTTTAGAGAACTATATTGAGAATGATGGCAGAACATGATGAAAGTCATGCTCTTTATTGCTTAATGTTGTTTTTGAATTTGTGAGGAGCAGTGAGAATGAGCCCTGTTCTTTACTGTACCTGTTCAAAGTTAGGTTTGGAATGATGACTGGTTGTCTCAGCAGTACAGTCCTTAGAGTGGCAAGCGGCTTTGTTTCCTTCATTTTTGGCCACGCACACTGTAACTTTGAAGACAGATTCATGAATATTTAACACAGCTCCCTTATTTGATCTCTTTCTTTGTTGCAGTGACAAACTGGAATTTGTCATTTCATTGTCTAATTTACAAATCTGCAAATGCACTTCCTTTGACTGGTGGTGTTTCTCAAGAAATTGAGTAGTATTTTGACTTGCAAACTTTTTCCCCCTTCTTGCACTGGAAGTAGGAGATTCATGTGTGCTCAGACATGGACTGGTGTTTGATTTCTGAAGCACTGGCCCAACATTCTTAAGAAAGAACGGAGTATTTGCCTTTTTGTGATTGACTTCACTTGGATTCCCACCTGAGGCCGAGTTTTCAGAAAAATCAGAGTTAGCAATTTGTTCACTAGACTGGGTTTTCCACCGGAATATGGGTGTACCTTGTTTTGTGTGTGTCTTCGTATTCTTTACCTGAAGCATGCTGCTGTCAGTGGGAGTTTTGACTGGCATATTTTGAATGTGTTTGAAAACCTGAGTTATGCTGGATTTGTGCACAGATAGCATAGAGGATGAAACACCCACATTTTTTCTTGGTGAATGTCTTTCAGCATTTTCCCTTTTCTTCCTATCTGTTTGATTTGTGATCTGTCCATTCATTTGCATCAACTTTCCTTTGAAAATTGGTATAATTTTGCTGACTTTTGAGGGTGTGGATTCAAAGGCTGCGTTTACAGGTGTTCCTAAAGATTTTGCAGTTGGTAACTCTGGTAGGCCTGGAATTTGCTTATTGCTAACTGATGTCTCTGTTACTTCAAAGCTAACCCCTCCTGTACTCTTACTGCTACTCGAGAAACTCAGTGCTCCTGGCTCTTTGATCAAACGCTCCATCCAGTGGCTGTTTTCCGTACTGCAGGGTGAAGGAATTCCAGGCAAAGTCGGTTTTCTTGGAGGAGCCTGCGTTAGAGATACTACACAAACCATCTCACCGTCCAATTTCGTATGCTTAGGTTTTATGTCCTGCAACACATCAAGAGCTGCTAAACTGAATAAACTGGATTTAACGATCTGATAGTGCCACCTAATGCATCGCTATATGATATCAACCTAATAAACATCACAATATATAAGCATACAATTTTGTATTTTGGATTAGAATGACTATATTTTAAAAGAATGTTTAGTTTTTACTATAAATTAAGAGGATTTTTTCATCCTCCTCGAGTTTGGTTTTTTTTTTTTAATAAACTATGTTAGAATATCGTATTTCTCAGAAGGAAAGACTTAAATTACAGTAATTATCTTGGTTTTGTGCTTTCCAACTGGATAATGTCTATCCCTTTTAAGGGGGTCTGCAGAGGGTTTGACTGACAGGGCTCCTCATCTCTTAAGACTTCTAAGAGCATCTGTATTCTGAGCAAAAGACAGTTTGGATGTCTATAAAAACTGCAGATGACACAGAGGACCCATTCTAGCTTTGATCACTGGAGAGACATAAACAGGAACTGCTTTCTGAAAGAGGATTTTGGTATTTTAGAACCTCTGAAACTTCTGTCACTATTCTTTGTTCAGAATTAATTACTTCATTTCTTCTTTCACACACTACTAACAAAGAAATTTGAGCCTCAGCCTTTGTCACAACCTCAAATTATAGGGGTTTTGATTACTTGCTTCCTTTCCATCCCCAGACATGGAGTAAATCTTACAGCTTGAGTGTTCTAAAATGCTTATGTCCACACAGTCCTCTTTTTATTTTTAAATAAATTGTAACACTAATACTACTTCTAGTAATAATAACAATAATAATAATAGAATCATGAATGGTTTGGCTTGGAAGGGACCTGACATCTAGTCCCAGCCCCACTGTCATGGGCATGGACAACTTTCACCAGACCAGGATGCTCAAAGCCCCATGCAGCCTCGCCTCCAACACTTCCAGGGATGGAGAATCCACATCTTTGGGCAACTTGTTCCAGTGCCTCACCATGCTTACAGCAAAAATTTCTTCCTAATATCTAATCTAAATCTACCTTCTGTCAGTTTAAAGCCCTTCCTGCTTGTCCTGTCATTACATGCCCCTGTAATAATAACAATACTAATAATGTTACTGTTATTATTGTTGTTATTACTATTTTTATTATTATTATTATGGAAGAGATTTGCAAAAGCTCTGGATATCCAACAGTAAAAAAAGAAGAACTGTAGAATTGCAAATACTGATAGCAACTAATTAATATCAAATCCATTTTTAATGTATTTATAATATTAATAATAACTTTACAATGGAAAATACTGTAGCTTACACATTAAATAAAAGTTAGAGGACTGATAGTTTGCTGTGAAAAGCATAGTTATGTGCCCTTACTGTGCTATGAATATGATAAAGACCACTTCATACAATGAAAAAGTATGTGTCATTAATATGTTTATAAAAGAAGCCTTACATGCACTGAAGCCTTGGAGAGCTCCTTTATAGCATAGAGTGCTTTACTTGTCATCTTTACTGGAAATCCACACAGCTGTGAAAAATTGCTCTTCATGTCAGCAAGAAAAGAGTTCACTACACTTTCTGCATCTGTTCTGGGGAAATACTGCACTGGCTGACTTCGGATACAACTTAAAGGGTATCTGAATAAGCGTTCAGGGATTCATAAAAAGTTTCTTTACATTTCTATAATTATTAATCATCTTTGTTGAGAAGATTTGTCTAAATGTTTTTAAAAAAGTGAACAGAAGCACTTAATTCCTTATGGGCCTGAAGTTTATAAAGTCACAGGACTTCAGCAGAATTTTACCACACTAACCTATAACAGCAAAGATTACTCAATATAAGTGACCTTTAGTTTAGTGTTTCCTGGCAGGAAACTTCTCTTTAAAAGCAATCTTTGTTGGCCACATTTTTACACAATTTCTTTGACACCAATTTCTCTTACATCACGTTTAACATGGCATTATCACATTTATGGAAACAGTGAAGCAAATTGATCTATTTGACTTCCTATTATTCAATACTGGGAGAGAGACTTGACTAAACATTTAGTTTCAACTTGTCTAGTAAAACACTTCTCTACTGACTACTAAGAAATTATGAAAGAAGGAAATGTGGCACACTTAAAAATGAAAAGCAGAGCTTTGCTAGAAGTGTAGGAGAGGAAATGTAACAAATATATTCTGAAAGGATACGTGAAGAACCTTTCCCCTATTGGTTTGAAGTAAACACTCAAGTATATTTTTGTCTCTTCAAGATCCTCAGGAAGAATATATCCATACTTAGATAAACCAAATACAAACAGGCATTACAAAGACAAACTCAATATGCACAAAAAAGGGAGGGAAAAATGAAAGCAACACAATGTGTTTCTTACCAGACTCTTCCAGTGCATCTGAAAATCCTTATATGAATGGAAAGGAGATTCTGGAGGAATTATATGGCTGATGTTTATGATTTGACCCATTTTCATGCTGTGCACAGGTAAAGAAGGGAGGCTTAGAAAGGATGTCATAGAATCCAGTTAAAAATATACTGGTCTTTTGGGGAAAATAATCTTATTTTTGGCTTTCAAAGTATTTAGTGGTTATTTTTATGTTTTGAGAACTAATAACTTTAGGTCATAAGTTTATGACATAGCAATATTTCCTGAAATATGGTAAAGAATGCGACAACTTCAAGTACCATTTCTCTTCAAGACCCACTAGCAGTGAATGTAGAACAAAAGCAAATATCATCATTACTTCTCTTGTATTTAATGAAGAAAAATCTTAGGTAAAAATCGAGGTAGTTCATGGCAAAGGTGGAAATAGTTCTTCTTTAAATTGACTTTCTGCTAATATTGTATTTGAGAAAAACTGATGCTCTTGCATCAGTAACACAAAGATTAGTAAAACTGAAATAGTATTTAAATGTGTAATTTATGATTTGTTGGTTAATTTTTCTTATTTTCCTTAACAATCAGATAATTAAAATAACAAGAACAATAATAGATTTCTGAATTTAAAACAGACTGTAAAACAGAAGTGTTCTCATCAGTAGTATCAAATTCACAATTTGTAGGGCAAACATTCCGACAAATGTTTATTTCTGCTGAAATGTGAACAGAGTCCTACCTTGGCAAAACATAGCACCAGTTACTTAATATGGAATGTTGCTGAATAACTGTATTTTCATTGCTGTCAAACAGCTTTATGGTGTTTGCTGAAATATCAAAATCTCCCAGCTTAAAACAGAAAAGAAAGTTTATTTGCAAATAATTCCACAGCAGTACAAATTTAAAATTTCAAAAATAATTGTGCATCATGACACACTGAAACTTGATATATTATTATTCTTTCATGAGATCTCACATATTGATTACTTCAGAAGATATTCACATAATCAAATTGCACACTATCTTATGTTAGAGCCTACACTTCCACAAGCCATGCAAGTAAAAGGTTTAAAGCTTATTGAAATCAGTGAGATTTAAACTTTATTTGAAATGGTTTAATAAGAGTATAGAAGGAATTTCTCAAACTGAGAGCTGTCTCACTTCCATGCACATTTTTAAAAAGTTTAAATAAGAGAGCCATGCTCAGCATTCTAATAACTATGTCATTTTGCCTAAGCATATGCAAATATCCAAGGGACTCTATTAAAGGGACATGCAGTTTCATCCTCTGAGAAATCACAAAACATCACACTTTTTCACAATGTCAGAATTTGACTGTAAGGGACAATCAAAGACTGAGACTGGAGAAACATTTTATTTTTCTATAATCTATGAGGGTTTGCACTAATTCACTAAGAAGAAAATCTGGCCACTTCTGTTTTAGAAAAGTATTGAAAGGATCAAACTGGTAAAAAGCCACATCATGATCTTTTCCATCATTGGTCTATATCATATGGAAACTGGCTTCTTATAGATGGTTTTAATGTTTATGCTGTCCCAAGCAGGTCTCAGAAGAAATCCTATTCTTCTATTTCAACAAAGAAGAGCTTGGATTAGAAATATTTATTTTATAAGAAAGTAGCAAGCCTGATAAATATGCCCTGCAGGTATGGATATATTCACCACAGGTGACATGGCTGTCAAAAAGGATAATAAGTTTTCAGCCTCAATTATGATTTCTTAAACAATGCATAAATTAAGCATAGTCCTGGCTGCGCCAGTATTTTGGAAGCTGGAAAGAAATTAAGCAGATTCCATAATAACCATATAAAAGGACTTTGAATGTGTTGACAGCTCACCTGTAGTTGCTCTTTTGTTACTCAAAACTGTCTCTGTATCACAGTGTGACTGAAAGCTTTCTAGAAAACACTGCTAGAAGGAAATCTAGAGCCACAAAGACACTTCACTGCTATACTCTGTTAGCATTTTTGAAAGCTCCCTTGGCCTTGAATCTCAGTTTTACAATGCCTGCTAGAATGTATCAATATAGATGCAATATGGATGTTATAACCTACGCAGATAGTCAATGAGTATGGTTAATGTCTCAATGCAATCAGAAATAAGCACTTCTATCTCCATTACACTAACTGGAAGTCACCTAGCAGAAAAGAAGATTAATAAAGCAAACACAGTCATAGGAAATATAAGTGGCTTATACCTTGGGGGGTGGCAGCCGAATTGAGCAAGGCTCCACACTGATGCAAAGAGGTCTATAACTAAATTGGAAAAAAGAACAATGCCCTGCTTTGAATTACAGCTCATCTCTTAGGCAGAAAGCTAACCCAAATATGTATTTAAGGTAATTGTTAGTCAAAATGCTGTGTTTGAAAATCAAAAAGCTAGACTTTCTCAGCACGGAAATTAAAATTAGGTGCATTTTAACTGTGAAAAGTAAAAATAATAATGAATTACTGTCATACGGGATCTCAGAAACTCAAGGCTGGCTGTGCAACTGTGTGCTTAATACTCATATCCTTGACAAACAAACAGCCATTTTCAAAGCAAATGTAGCTCATATAACCATTTGCTGCACTGAGTCATTCAGCCCAGTATTTTCCATCCAGGAGCTGTCAATAGGAAAGACTAAATGAGCAAGGCAAGCATTTATGGACATACCTCCAGAACTTCCACTCAACTCGGAGTTCCTCAAAAAAAAATCTCTGCTACAAATTTAGCCTCCAATATCCCCAAATGTAATCTTTAACTTTTATACTGGAATAAAAATATTACTATGTAATTTTTGTAATAGCTAACCAGCAGGCTTTGTGACTTCACTTCTGTGAACAGCAAAGCGTACATACTGCATAGTCACTATAGCTCATTTTCCTATCTAGTATTATGGAACTTTCACATCATTTGCAAGACTCATAATTTAAGGCAAGTGCATTTAATTGCAATAATTATAACTTTAAAATGGCAAATGTCAGTCTAAGGCTGTAGATTAATAGTATAAAAATGATCTTCTTTGTGAGTAATTTTTCAAAGGTTCAGTTGAGCTGACAACTATTACAGACAGAACATCACTTGCCACCAAGTGTATTTTGACAGAAGCTATTTCAGAATGAGAATCAAAGATCTTGTGCTGGTAATACGAAGATTGTGGCAGTATGAAAGTGCTTAACTTTACCTTGCTCTCTCAACTTTACCATTAACAGAATATTGTACTTACCAACAGCATTTTGTCTTCCTGAATGAGACAAAAAGTCTTTCCCTTAATAAATAGAATAGACAGACATTATTTTCTAAACCGTATGTCTAAAGTCTTTATGTGAAGAAAAACCAGGAGAAATCACATAGTTTTGTTTGTGTCTATCAGAAGTGCTGAAAGGTGTGTTCCTTCTAAGGAGATAAAATCTCTCTATCAATTAATTTTTCACTGATTCATTAACATATTCTATAAGAAAGAGAGATATGTAAAAGTATATATGTAAAAGTAGACAGCAATTTATATATCACTTTTTCCTCCTAACCCTCTACTTCCAGCTGCTACTCCTGAATCAGCTGATTTCATTCTGAGATGCATATATTATGAAGATACTGGGAACAGGATACTGTTGTTATTGTGGCTGGAAATAAGGTAACAACATGCACACTTTCCTCAGCACATATTTGAAATTATATATATAATTGCTCTAATTATTACAAGCATACAGTTTCTTCTCCTTTGGTACATCACATTTATACTACACAGGAGCTAGCAGAGATGTCAGGCAAAGCAACTGTGATCCAAAAAAGACAGCTTGGTAGAAGGAGAGGGTCTGACAGAAAACCATTTCTGTTTAGAAGAGCCTATAAATCATATGCAGAAGTGTCACTGCTGAAAGCATGAATCCAAAAAACAGGCCAAATTTTTAATATTGTTGGACATTTTCTGTCCAACAATATTTGGTTTCATCTGGTACATTGCATTCAGTTGACATAATTATTTGATCTATTACAAAGATAAGGAAGAAGATGAAAAGGTGAATGGCATTTCCATTCAGAATATTAACTTGAGTCAATCAACCTGGATAACAAAACAATAAAAGAGCAAATAAAGAAAGAGTAATAGGATAAAGAAATGAAACAGTTTATTATAATGAATGAAATAATTATGGAATTTAAATGATGGAAAATAAATGCTACAATAAAGAACTGAAAACTAAATGCTTGATCCCTGACCCAAGTGAGTCAAATACCTTGCACCAAGAGATGACCAGCCTTGTTCCATCTGGGCGCAAGTCTGGCTGAAAGTGTGTAGGAGAGACAGGTCTGGAGAAGGGCTGGAGTAACTGTTTGTGGTGCTTCCAGCTAATAACAACAGAGACAAAAAGAAACGTACATTTTTAATAATTTAATAGATTTTTTACAGGTCTCAGTCAAAATTTAAGCAAACACACTGCTACTTCACCTTGGAGCAAAATCCTAGAATATGCCACACATGTTCACCTACTTAGCTACAAGAGGAAGGTAGCACAATATTTGATGTAGGAATTTGGATTTCACATGCCATTAAAGTGAGGTGCTCGACAGTTCCTAGAATGCTTTCACAGGGCTGATAATAGACTTGGGGAAAAGATTAACTGAATCCTGTGGAGTACTTTACTAGATATGCAACTCCCTCCAGACAACAGGCACAACATCCAAAGCTAACATTACCTCTGCTGTCAGAGTCAAGACCACAGACATATTCTGGCAATCACAGTAGATAAATTTAGCTTTGCTCACCCAACAGCCCTACTTGCCCGCCTGTCCTGCAGAGCTTTCCCTTGAACATCAGCATAAGCCAATAAACTAACTACAGCAGGTTAAAATGAGTTAAGTAATACACCTCCAGAGGGAGGTTTCTAAGGAACTCTGCAAGGAACTGCTTGGTGTTGAAAAGCTAACAATGACAGATCACCTACACATATCACATAAAGCAGCTCTGTAAGGTAAGCATATTTGAACAGTGTATGTCTTACTAATCTGTATATGCACATGCACCTCTTGGAACCAATTAAAATACACCCAGCTGGCTGTGCAAATGAATTATGAGAGCTACTGGCTTTGGTTACAATCAGTCTTCTGACTCAGCAATTTTAGTGCATCCACACATACATTCATAAACCCCATAGATGTTGCATACTAGAAGATAGTAAATCATATGCATAATGGTCTCAAAATATATCAGCTGTTAAGCTCAGGGGTTCCATTTCTTCTCTATGCTTTTGTTTTGTTTTCCTGAGACTGTTCTGTACAGGCTGGGTAAACCCAAAGGTGAATGGGGAGACAGTTCAGCTGCCTGAACATTCCCACTGGATGAAGGGGATGATACCAGCAGGAGAGCTGCAGGTCTGTGGCCCAAAGGTTGTCTCGAGGTCACTCCCCAATGTGTCTGAGTAGGAGCAGGATGCCACTGCAGCAGAGAAATCTAGAGGTACTGCTCACAAACTTTTTAAAACTATTGAGTCTGACAAAGTATATTTACCATGCCACAATTCACAGGACACATTTTGTCTATGGGGCAGACCTTTTAACCCTGAAACTCGGCTTCTGCAGTGCAAACTGCAGGGCCTATGAAAAATACTCATCTCTGGCAACAGCAATTACAGGCAAGTGTAACAGTCTAAAGAACTGTGTCATATTTCAGCACTTACAGTAGCTCCGTGTCTCTCTACATAGGCTTGACATATTCCTGATTCGTAAAATGGTATCTAAAAGTAACAATAAAAAAATAAATCAAGTGTTTGGTATTAAGCATAAATTAAATTCTGGTACAACAGTGAATTTGCCTTTGAAAAGCATGCAAGGGAATAGTTGAGCAAACACTTTATCCTGTCTTTTAAAGGAGAAAACTAAAATTAGCTCAAGCTTTTGTCATAGTGTAATCTGATTTCTAGCTAAAGATACATTCAAAAGCAAGCCAAGCAAGCCAAAGACTGCCCAAAACAAAGCTGCAGAACTCTGCACCTGCTTCTCTCCTTGTGAATTGGGTGACACCTTATCAACTGAGTCTATTTCATTCCACAGATTGGTTCACCATCTGAAAAGGCTATTTCATCAAAAGAATAAAGGACTTAAGTTGTCCTTCTGCACCACTAATGCACAAAAATAAAAGTCTGCTTTAAATGAAACATTTTTACTTATCCTTGATCCTCAAACAAAACTTCTTAGAGAAACACAACATGTATGTGTGACAAATATAATTGACCCCCAGCCATACTTTGGCTCAAACTGATCAAGAAACAACAGGCCTCACATCCTTGGAATGAGCTTGCAAGCTGGAAAGTCCCTGGCTCTTGAAAAATATTTCAAAAGGTGTTTTTGAAACCCGCAAGTACAAGATAACCAAAGTACAGAAAGAGCTATCAGCACTAAATCAAACACATCTGTCTTGCCTGTATTATTGATTAGGAGCCAACTACTTCACCCTTTAAATATTAAAATCGGGATAGGCCCAGTCTGAGCACTCTCTGAATGCCAGACTGTATACGATAGCTGGCCTGCATGGCAGGTGACTGAGCAGGGACTCCTCTCAAGTTTAGAGATTCCATACAAGAAATTAAGAGATCCTTCCTTACAAAAGGTTGAGTGGCACCATACCTGTGACCTGCATAAAGTGACTGAGAGCATGCTGAATTCATGCTATGAAGAATTACTAATCCATGCAGCTACTCAGATACTATAAACATTGTAGGGATAATTCCATTAGGCATGAATTGTTGACCAAGTCTGAGACAAAGACTGGATACAAACACACACAGGCTCCAAAAAGGAATTCCAAAAAGGGATCCACTCTGAACCTCTTGTCTCCACAGGTGGGCCCTCTTTATTCTTTGCATCTCTGGTCTCTCTCTGAGTCATTCTCAGTTTTCCTTTTCATCTTTCTTCCATGTGTAATTATTAAGGTAAACCTTGGCATCAAACATCCTGAACCTTGTCAGAACACTGTTAAAACTTTGCTAAATTCCATCAGACTCATCAAACTCTGTCAAATTATTATTTTACCTCAATAAAACATAGTGCTGCCTCTCTCTTTTGAGTGAGGTGCACTCTGCTCATCTGCAGCAGTCTGTAACTACACATACTTATTTACACAGTGATACTGACCGCCATCACAACTGAAATTTGACTCAGTGTCCCCATAACAGGTGCAGAAAGGATCTCTTGATACAGGAACAATAATTGTCTAGAAAAAAAGGTGAGAAAGAAATAAAAAACGTTTCATTTTCTCAGCTTAAATTTATTTTCTTAATCTTTTGCAAACACAATACATTCCACTTTTAATCAGTTTCCATTGGTTCAGTATAATAAATTGGATTAGTCCAAGTTATTTGCTCTAGATGACCCACAATGGTCTAAGACAAAGATTACAGGCTTTTGGCACACAAATGGAGCTCTCCAAAAGTGTTCTTTTGGCAGAATTTATAATTTCTCCCCTTTTCTTTTAAAGGGAATAACATAATGCTTGGTGAATGCTAAGGAGCCTACATCTGCTTTCCAAATAGTCTTTTCACTTAGTGTCAACATGAAGCATCCCAGCTTTGTAAGTAAACACAGATTAATTTTAACCATTTATTAATTTGAAGTATGTGGATTCGTTTTAGTCCATGAAATTTAAAACAGAATGGAATTTTTTTTGCTCCCCATTAGCCAGCAAGTCCCCTGCCCAAGAAAAAAAGAGCTATTTTAAACAATTTTGTACTTTTTGCCACTGATAAAAATTTAGCTGATTTTATTACATTTAATTCTGGTATGGCTAATAAAATATTTGAATAACAACCACTAGCACCTTCTGGAAACAATATCCCTCAACACTCTTTACCTGCAAGTCTTTATCTGTGTACTCCTTGCCTCAGATTCTGGTATCTGAGAACTCAGTGTTACTGTAGCAGCACAGAGTTTTTGCAGCTCAGGCAGACTGACAAAGAACAGAGGCTGGTGTCTGGAGCTATTCATGGTATGTTGTTGACTGCCCCGAAGCAGTACCTGGGTCTTAAAATAAAAAATAATTCATTTTTGTAAGGCTGGTATTTGTTTACAGAACTTTATATGTTATTAAGTAAATGAACAATAAATTATATTTTGATTAATAATATAGAGAAAATATAATTTGGTCAGCTAAAACAGCTGGATATCCCTTTTTCTATATGTAATGCATTATACTTGAAAAAATAATTATTTGCAAGAGCCAAAATAAGGCTTGCCTCAAGACAAGGACAAAAGAATACCGAGTACATGTATGATCCTGGCCATATTAACTAAGCATACGCAATGGAACTCTGTTCTTTTTTGGACCTTCCTAAAAACCACTGAAAAGAACCCAAAGAAACAGAATTTCAGACTATGATTCTTTGATGTAGTACTAACAAATTACACGTGAATGGGAATAGCATGAATTCATATTACCCACCTTGTTGGATGCCTGTTGTGTGCTCCTCTGCCCTGCAGCACAGGCCAGGCTCGGTGTAATGAGTTAGAACATTCATGACAAAAAAAAAATCTAACATTTCATTATTTGAAGAAAACCACACTTTTTAACTGTAGCACCTTTTTCCAATCAAAGTATTTCAAAAAAAGACAAGTAGTTAGAAAGGCAGGAATGAACATCAGAAAAAGCTGATTTAATACTTTTCCCCTCTCCAAATCCCAAAACAATTTCGAGAAATGGACTCAGCAGCACAGTGAGGACAGCAATAAATATTTTGATCCCAAATTTTATGAACTCACCAGGTATTCACCTGAAAAACAGTTCTGTAAATTGTGATAAAACAGTTATGAACTGGAAGCATATTTTGAGGAACAATGTCAAAGATAACTTTGCTGTTCTGATTTTGCTTTGCTTTCTTACAGTGTAACACTTAAAACAGATTAACCTCCATCATATCCAAGAAAAATCATAAGGTGAGTGTTTTATAACTGGCCTTTAAAAGAAAATAATGTTTTCTTATTTGTTACCCTTAAAGGAAAACACACTTCAATTTTTTTTGGCACTCATGTAAAGTAGGGGTTTTTTTAAATGCCAGCCAAGACTATCACTTCATCAAAAAATTCCAAAAGCTATATCTCAAGGGAAAGCTCAGTTTTAAATAAATGAGAAAAAACATCTTGTCCTTATGCAACTATGGAAAAGAAAGCCTGAGTCTTCAGCTTTCATAATATTTATTGGGGATTTTTTGTGGCAGAGATGTTGTAAAACACATGCTGCAATGCTCCAGTGCCCTGCTTGCTATTTGAGGATGACTCCCTTGTGGAAACAACTTGCTGTATTAAATCTAAGTTAAATCTTCGCAGACATCTTAAAAGCTAATGGGACAGAGTGCTTGCAAAAGGCTTCTCCCTTCAGGGGAGAGGATAAAGAGAAAAGTAGCAGTTAACACGGAACTGCCAGTTAAGAAAGAACTACTGGTTATAAATCATGGGAAATAAACACAACCGCCCTCTGTACAAGAGGACTTTACGCGTGTGGGAGAAATTGCACCTTTACATGCCAATAATCACAGCATGGGCACTTGAAACCCTCGCTGAGCTCCTGCTAAGTGTAACAGACATCAGTCAGGGAATGGCTATCGCTGTCTTTTCTGTCAGAACAGGCAACTAAATCCCAGATCTTGGCAACAGTATTTGCAATTTTCAGTAACAACCTGGAGGTCGGATTGAAGAACCTCCTTATTAAAGGTGGGAACAACATCAATCTGAGGGAGAGTAGCTGCTCTTACTGTCAGGGTGACTGAAAAGCTGAGGCAGGATCTGGAGATGGTGGTGGCGCTCGGTGAAGTTCGGAGCTGTCCTGCACTCGGGCTCAGGGTGCAGAAGTTAAGCACCAGCTTTCAGGAGGAGTGACAGGTCACGCTGGGTAAGTTTTATGCTACAAAAAACCCGCAAATCCAGCCTGTAATTACGCCTGAGTGTGTACATGGGGCTATTGCTGCCGAGGCAGCCAAGCTGTGTATGGACGTGACACGGGGATGTGTGGACCCATACTGGGCTGAAATACAGACAACGCCATCGAACACAACTGAGACCAGAGCAAACGAAACATACTTTACCTCAGCCAAAAATGCAGGGAAACAGGATGCTGGATCGGCAACAGAGCCTCACCGGAGAAGGGGAAGGTACTGCCGTCTGCGCCCTCAGCTCACCTGGCAGCAGACCAGGACAGAGCTTCAGGGAAGCCTCGCTCCAAGCCCCGCGGGAGAGCCCTCCCAAGGCGGGGCGAGGAGCTGTGAGGAGGCGGCTGTGGCGGAGCCGCTCCCGCCGGGATCGCCTCACGGGCTGCGCGGGAAAAGCGGCAGCGCGCGCCTCCCGCCTTCAGGCACCGCCGCCTGCCGGCATCAGCGGGGACGAGCGACTTCCCGGGCAGCCCCTGCCTGCTGGGACACCGGCGGGACAGGGCAGGCTGCTGGGGGGTCACAGCGCCCCGGCACAGCCACGTCGTGTGCGGCTGTAACGCAGCCCGCGCTACGGGTGCCTTTGTGGCAAAGGCGCTTTAGCTCTTGGCCGAGCCGGGGCGCCAGCCGGCTTTACCACAGCGAGCATAATTCAGCTTCGATGTTAGGGGGAAAAAATCTTTACTGCGAGGGTGCTGAGGCACTGGAACAGGCTGCCCAGGATCACAGATTGTTAGGGTTGGAAAGGACCGCTGGGGATCATCTAGTCCAATGCCCCTGCCAGGGCAGGGTCACCTGGAGCAGGCTTCACAGGAACACGTACAGGTCGGTTCTGAATGTCTGCAGAGAGGGAGACTCCATGACCTCCCTGGGCAGCCCCGACCGGCCCATCCCTGCCACTCTCAATGTAAAGGTCTTCATGTTAACGTGAAACTTCTTGTTTTTCAGTTTATGGCCATTGCTCGTCGTGCTGTCTCACTAAAAAGAGTCTGACAGCACCCTGAGTCTCTTCCCATAAGAAGTGCTGTAGACTCCTAAACATCTTTGCGGTCCTGTGCTGTACACTCTCCAGAGCAGTTCCTTGTCTTTCTTTTACCGGAAGTGTTCAAGGCCAGGCTGGATCAGACTTCGAACAATCTTGTCTAGCGGCCCCCATAGCAGGGGAATTGGAACTAGATAACCTAAAAGGTTATCCCACACCAATGTAGTTCTACACCGCAAGCCGGCGGTTAGCTCGTCGCAGAGCACACCGGCAGCCCCGAAACCCGGCGCTGCCAAAGGTGGCGAACGCTGGGGTGACCACCCTAGGAAGTCAACAAATAGAGACGCCGGGACCCCAGCCCCCGGCACCGATAGCGGCCAGACCGAGCCCAGCGGGGCTGTGCCGGCACCGGCACGGGCACGGCACGGCACGGCACGGCACGGGCACGGCACGGGCACCGGCACGGGCACGGGCACGGCACGGCACGGCACGGCACGGCACGGCACGGCACGGGCAGGGCACGGCACGGGCAGGGCACGGGCACGGCACGGCACGGCACGGCACGGCACGGCACGGGCACGGGCAGGGCAGGGCAGGGCACGGCACGGCACGGCACGGCACGGCACGGCACGGCACGGCACGGCACGGCACGGCACGGCAAGACCCCGCCCCGCCCCGCTAGCCAGCCGCCAGTCACGTGGGGAGGCGGAGAGGCGGGGAGAAGGCGGGGCGCGACTGCAAAGTCCCGCCCCCGGCCGCCACAGCCGCTGCCAGACTGCCCGACTGCTTTGAGTGGCATTGCCGTCTGCCAATGAGCGACCGACTAGGCGGGAGGGGCGGGGCGGTGGCTGGCGGTGATAGGGCCTGCGGCGGGGCCCTGGCGCTGTGTGGCGTGTCAGCTTGTGGCGGGTGCGGTGCCGGACAGGACCGGACAGGACATGGTGGGCTCCAGCGAGACCGGGAAAGAGCCGTGGCGGGGCCGCTACTACCGCCTGGAAGAGGTGCAGAAGCACAACAACAGCCAGAGCACCTGGATCATCATCCACCACCGCATCTACGATGTTACCAAGTTCCTGGACGAGGTGGGTGCCCGCGTTGCCGGGATGCTGAGGGGACCGGAGCCACCCGAGGCGGGCTCGCCGGCGGCTCCTCGGCTCCCCGCGCTGTGCCCCTGGCGGGCTCCCGTCCGCCTGCTCCGGCCCGCGGGTGCAGCACGGCGGGACCCGCCCTCGGGGCCGCGATAGCGCCGTGGAGGGAGAGCCGCGGGGCGGGCCCGGGCTCCGGGCGCCTCTCGGGCCGGGGAAAGCCGCGAGTGCTGCGCACGCCGTGTGTGTCATCCGCTGTGTGCCCGCGCCCGCCTGAAACTTTCGGGTTTAAATTCTGATTTGAATTTGCAGTAAATAAGGACAAGGAGAAAAAACTGGCGTCAGTATTGAGGGCTGAGATAGGCGGGCTGGCTCTGTGAATCTTGGGTACCAAGAGTGGGGCTGAATTCATCTGCTTCTTGCTTTGGTGTGCCAATTGAAGACAGAATTAAAAGTGAAGACTCAGCTGGGACACAGAGCTATATTATCTTGTTATCTAAAAGTTCAGCAACCCTTTTCTTCACACTATTGTAGTGTGTGTTGTACTGGGGAACAGGAAAGAAAGTTCACAAAGTGGAAGGAAAGTACCACAACATGCAGAGTATCAAAGATCTCGGGGTTCCTCTCATAGTCACAGAATCACAAAATTGTTTGGATTGGAAGAGGCATTAAAGCTCATCTCATTCCAGCCCCCTGCCAAGGGCAGAGACACCTTCCACTATTCCAGGTTATTCCCAACCCCTATCCTTGAACGTCTCCAGGGATGGGGCATTCCCAGCTTCTCTCGGCAACCTGTGCCAATGCCTTACTCCTGTCACTTTAAAAATTTTCTTCGTTATATCCAGTCCTTGGTAAAGCTTCTTGGTCACAGTGGCTTGTGTTCCTGTGTGCTAAATAAGTATAACCTGGTAGCCTTAAGACCTGGGTGGTCTTTTTTTGCAGGAAATGGTGGACATGGCGTTTCATACAGGCAGCCAGGCCCAGAGATTAGGGTGACTCTCA